CTTTAGAAAAGAACATTTCCACTTTACAATGGGAATATTAAAGTGCCTATGTATACCTTCCAGCATAGTATGAGACATAAAAGGGGAGGACAATTAATGATTGATGAGGATAGGACGGGAAGTAGTCTGTGATACCCCAAGAGAAAGATGTAGAGCACAATGTGGTGGGAATTAGTAGAAAAGCCTATAGAGAAATTCTACCTGCTCTCCTTTTAGTTTTTCTTGTCAAATCACATACATGGCAAGTAATCATATACGATTTAGTTTTTCCAGTCTCCTTACTTGCTCCCACCATCACTTTCATTGCTATTCTACCAGATTCTGCAATAACAATTTTAGCCCAAGGGTAATTGTTTCCAATAAATATTGGCATGCCATCTAAAGCTCATTGGAGGAATGTTATTCTGGGTAACCAAGTGAGCAGCAAAGATGGAATATAAGGAAGTTTCAAAGGTCAAGGAAGGCTAGACATTGTTCAAATTGATTTTGAGAGAGTAGATGAGAATATACATATTCATATATATTTCATAGTATAAATATAGACTAAAATTTCTATACTATAAACACATATATTAAATTACATTGTAAGATATAAGTGTGTTTTTTAGCATAGAAGTGTTAAAATTGTGTCTGTTACTTTTAGAGTCAAATAACACTTTAGTCACCTTCTTTTAATTCTTCAGGGGCATCTTCACCAAGTGCTGCATAGATGAGATCATGCTTTTTATATTTTAGAATGGTTAGTCTATATTCTCTGAATAAGCTTTCACATTTTTCTGAACAAAAATGGCTCAGAAGAGAAAAATTTTTGTAGGTTTATCTTTTGCATCAAATTTTGGTTTACTTTTAACATGTAGGTTAGATTTAATATCTATTTCCAGAGTGTTAGTAGCAAAAGGAAGGAAAATTATTTAAGATTCCACCATATTTATGGAAAAATATATTCTAGTGTTAAATCATTTTGTGTCATGGTCAAACATGTAGGAAAAAAAAGCAAATGTAAAAATTATTCGCACAGATTGACATTCTTCTTGCAAAAACAGTTTCTAATTTGTTTGTTTTTTAAATTTTGTTTTGTTTCGGTTTCCCCAAACAAATACAGTGGCAGGAACAGGAGCAATGTGTCACTGTGCCCTTGCAATTTATGATGTTATCTCCCTTGAACTTTTTTTATTTTATTTCATTACTAGAAAGTCAGTTCATGAAGGCTGTTGTGTGTTTTCTAAAACTTAAGAGTTTGGGCTTGTTTTATCTGTTATTATTAATATGATGAGGTCAATTTTCGAAAATTTAAGAACATGCACTGTCAACTGTACCAGTAACCCCTAACAATGAAATATAGTCATACAAGAGTTAACTAAGGTATAAACATGCAAAAGAAGTCTCCCTGTGATCATAAAATGATGTTATTTTCTGTTCAGCAGTTCATGTTACTGCTGTTCGTGCTAATTAATTAAAGGAGCTGTTGCTCTAACGTGCAAATAGGGAATCTAAGAAACTGAGAGGGTTTTTAGGTCTCCAAGTGAAGTTAAGTCAATCTGGGCGCGGGCAATCAAATGTAATGAAATCACTTGTCAGTGCTAAGCTTGCAAAAACTGAAGTTTGACTAGGGAGTAAAAGGATTATAATTAGATTTCCGATAGTATAATAACTAAATGGCAGAACACAGTAAAGAGAAAATATTACTTTGTTAGCTAATGGTACTGCTGTTCAGTTTTAGTTTTTATCAGTGCACTTGAAGCTGTGCTAATTTAATTTGCTTTTATCAGCAGAAATGCACTACACAAATGGTACTTGAATGTCATTTGCAGAAATCATTGATCTGAAGGTGCACTTAATGACACCCAGTATGTTTATTTTATGTGAAACAGAGATTGGATGATAAGATGGTTAATGTGCTGTCTTGCAGGTCCTCAACTGAGTTCTGTGAATCTAGGTGGGACAATATTATTGTATATGCTCCACCGAATCCTTCACCTCCAACAATAGTGGACAGAGCCATTAGAATGAATATGTATTCATTGTTTGATCACCTTAAAATATTCAGAAGGAGCTGCTATAATAGACCGCTAAAATAAGGGTTACAAAAGGTGGCTTATGCATACCTTGTCTGTCAAACAACATTCGAAGCATAAAAGACATGAAATAACTAAGGTAAAGAGATTTAGAATACATATAAGAATCTTAGTACCATGTGATAATTATCATAAATCTGTATATGACTTTATTACTTTTAAAGGGGGCCAAGCAACATTCTTCCAAGTCTTCTTTAAAACTTTTAAGGAGATATCCCATTGGAACTAATTTAATTTCAAAAGCGAGAACACTGGGTGATTGATAGATTTCTATCCAGCAGAGCTATTGACAATAGGAAGAGAAAAGGCTTCACTGATGCTGGAATTGTTTGCTGTGATAAAGATGAGTTTTGGAAATGGCACTGGATTGGCATGCTTGAATTGACCCTCATAAACAATGCTAGCAAATACTTTTCCAAGATAAAAAATGGGTAATTGAGGGAAATGGAAAGATGAAGTCAGTATCAAAATAAGTCCCCAAAGATAAAAGCTATAACACACAAGAACAAAAGTATTAGGAAGAATGAAAAAATAATGGCTAAGTTTGCATTTTATGTTTTGCAGGCATTATACATTTTCTGAAGTTCATAAATGCATATAAAAGTAATTTTTCAATACTGAACATCTTAAGTAATAAGTAATATTACTGGGATTTTCAGGTAATTATTTGAATTGATTGATTTTGTGAACTATGTGCAAAATAGTTCTGATAATATTTTCAGGCACTTATCCTACGGGCTAATAAAACTTTTTTTTTTGCTCAAAAAAAAAACTTATTTTAGATATTAAATTGTGATTCTACTGTTTTTTTTTTTCAAAAAAAAAACTCTAGTTTTCCATAAATTGATGATGGGAACTTTATCATTTATAGTGCTTAAATGCTATGCTAAGAGAGATGAGAATGTGTACTTTTCCATTTTCATTACATTTATCAAGATTATTTAACATAACCTAAAAGGCAGATATTCAATAAGTAATTATTAACACACCATACTTTACCATATATTGAGACTAACAAATATTAGACAATTCGATCTGTAATTTGAAAAAAATAGTAAAAGTTAATTCCCTTGCTTTAAAATAAATTCTGTCTTAATCCTTTTAAAAGTGTACTAATTCCCTCATGTCTAGCCAGCAAAAAATAGAACTTATTAAAAGTATGCTCAATGAAAATAAATATTAAATGTGTCCTACCCTGATCACAAATTAATATGCAAAAGCTATTCTTTGCAGGTTTTGTTAAAATAAGGAAATTTAAACCAAATAGAAGGCTTTTGATTTATATCTAACCTCCCATGAATAAGATATCTGTTTTTTGTTGCATGGAAATTAAATAACTTTAGGACAGTAAAAAAGCTTATATTTATTTCAGAGTTGGGAAAGATGTTACTGCTGCAACTTAAAGGCACCATATACATTAAACAATGAAGCAATGAATTGAAAGTATAAGATTAAAGGATAATAAAGATACAACCCACTGATGGTGCGTTTGCTTTAACCTCTCCAGTTCCAAAGCTGACCTTATATCCCATCAAAGGAGGGGCACAATCAAACTCAATGTTCCATAAAAGACTGGGTCTATATTTGTGTGCCACAAATTAAGAAGTCATCAAATGCTTCAGGCTTATTCAACCCTACCTTGGCCCACTATGTGGTAGCAAACTCAACTAGTGGTAGCCCACAACTAGTAGGACTTTCCTCATAAATTTAACTGTGGTGAACTGATTGGACAAACACTGAGTCTCATCCATATTGGCTTTGGTCACATTGACACAGCTTTTAAATTGAGGGAAGAAAGCAGGCAAGCAAAAGAGGGATAAGAAATATCAAAAGCTTCACTGAATGAACTAAACATACATGCTTTCACACTTCGCAAAATTAACGCATTAATTAGGTCTACTCAACTGCAGCAGAAACAGGCATTATCAGAAGATCTATGAGCTCTGCATTCCTTGTTTTGTAAAAATGATGGACAAATCTACATGAATGAGGGTTTCTAAATTTTCTGAAACTGACACATAAATGGTGACACACAAAAGAACCCAAATGGATCTTTCAGTCACATCTAGTTTTGTTGCCTTCATGCAGATCCAGTCATCACACAATGGAAAGGCATTGATCAGTTAATCCTCTAGCAAGCAAGATATCCACTATTGTCTTGCTTTCTGAATTTAGGAGATCATTTTCTCATGGAGTTACCTTTTCTTTTTTATTAGAGTGAGACATTTTTTTCATATTAAACAAAAAAATAAAGGTAATCTGCATACAAAGGGCTAGAAAACTGCATTAGAATCAGACTAGAAAAACTCCAGTGGTTAAATTCAATTTCTCTTTTCAGGTTGTTTTGCACTCCAGTGAAATTCTATATTGATTTGTTTCATCTATTCCCTTACTACTAAGTATTTTTAAATATTTTAAAGGATCTAAGCATTTATGGGAATCCTGAGAATCATGACTAAGTTGTGGTCTTATTTCCATATTTATATGGTTTCTCAAGTTATCTAAATTTGGCATTGGAATTTAGAAGTTGATAAAAAGTATTGTCTAAAAGTCATCAAACATATTGATAGGTTATGATTATTCTACCTGTGCCTTTTACAAACATTAGTGAGATTTTTAAAAGTATATTATTGAAAAACTTTGGAAATTTAAATTATATTCACATTTATGCATTTTTAGAATATGCCTAATACATAAATAACATCGTTTTAACAGCTAAACATACAAGAAATTTGCCCATATTGTATATGTAAAATTATTAGTCCCTATGTATATAATCTCAAAAAACATTGAAGACTTCTGCCTCTGCCATAAAGTAAGAAGAATTAAACTTATTTCTTTTATTTATATAAAGAATATCAACATAGGAGCTCATGCCCACCCCATATCTGACAGTTATAGAGAGGAGTATGCTGTTTACTGTACCTTGCATACCAGTACTCTCATGAGGAGTCCCATTGTTGTCTATTTCAATGTCTGGAATTCCAGTATCTGAAAGAGGTGACATTCAAGATTAAGGTACAATTCTATTTTTTTTCCTGATTCTACTTAAAATGAAACCAGTAATTTGGTCCTATAGATAACACAAGACCTTGGATGGAATTTTTGTTTTTGTTTTTGTATATCTGTTTTTAATGGTAAGAGGGAGGATTATAAACTATAGCTGAATTCTACAATTTGGCATACAGTTTCAAGTATATAGTAAATACTTATTTACTTCATTCCCTAGATATAATTCTCAGGAAAATAATCCCCTCAGACTATCAGGTAACATGACCTGACTGTAAAATAAGAAAATGATTGATACAATTGCATAAATGGAAGTTCCCCATTCTTATGCTATACTTTTCATTGTAAAATGTGATAGATGATGAGGTTATCTCTATGCTAAGCACACTGAACACCAAAGCACAAGTTATGGTTTGTGGTCTTTATGCAGTACTGGCTATAAGGACAAAAAGATACACAAATTGTTTTTGAAAAAAATTTGAGAAAAAAGAAGTAGTTAGGTTTTTATTTTCAAGTTTAAATATGAGATGTGATTATTTAAAAGCTATCCATATCCATGAAGCACAGCTTTATATGAGCATATCTGTATATACACGTTCACTTGGACATTCTTGGGTAATGTGATAATAGATGCCAATGTATCACCCAATGCCATCAAAGATTAATATAAGAAAATGATTTGAATACAAGCTACCCATCATGCTGTAGAAACAGCTGTTTTTCCTTCATGATAGAAAAGCTAGACCTAGATGGGGTTCAATTATGGGTGGATTTTAAATATGTAAAAAAAAAAAGTCAAACCACTTCAGAACGACAAGTTCAGGGCCTCAAATAACAATAATAAGTGCACAGAACATATGTCCCATTGCTACTCAAGAAATGTTATTTTTAAAACCTTTGATAAGCAAGGATGCTGGCTCCCACTAAGATGTCCCATTGTGTAAAATATTAATGTATAATTACTTATTCTTTTTTATTTTGTGTCTCACGAGGCATGGTTAGCATGAGCTAATAATCTAGCATTGTATTTCTATTGATTGTGAGCACAATGATCCAAGACAGTCACAGTAAAAAGGGAATTGAACTTTTGGAAAGAAAGAATATGACTCACATTTATAAAAAATTTTCTACTCATTCTTAGTATAGGACACTGAAGCACCCCCTTAGTTTTATGTGTATGGGGTATGTGTACGTGTGTGTAAAATTCTTAGGCTTATACTTGCTATACACACATATTAATATACATATGTATATTTAACATGTCAGTTAAAAATATAAGCTGTCAATGTGCTATGAAAGAAGAACCTGAATATTCTATGAGATGAAATGATGTTGTGCGGTTTCATAATCGAAAATGTAATAAAAAAAATTTGGAATTAAAATATTTCATGACAGAAGCATCTCTTCTCATAGAATCTCCAGGAATGTACTTAGAACAAATTTTTTTTTTCATCCAGGCCCTCCTTAAACCCTCAACACTGATGCAATCTACATTAAAGAAACCAGCATCCTATAACTCATTAAAATGGAGTACACCAATCATCAGCATATTTTAATATGAATGGACATAAATTACTTACATTTTAGGTTCAAGGAGTTATCAGTATTACTGCTGCTACTGCAAAAGTCAGCAGGGTTTCCTGTTATTCCTAGGCATTTTGTATCTCCCAGAAGAGGGATTATTTTGATACATTTAATTAATAACTAAAGCACTTGGCCTCAAATTGATTTTTTAATTATTCTTGAACAGAGCCTACCCCCTTCCTTTCTTTCTTTTTCTTTCTTTCTTTCTTTCTTTCTTTCTTTCTTTCTTTCTTTCTTTCTTTCTTTCTTTCTCTTTCTTTCTTTTTCTTTCCTTTCTTTCTTTCTTTCTTTCTTTCTTTCTTTCTTTCTCTCTTTCTTTCTTTTCTTTCTTTCTTTCTTTCTTTTCTTTCTTTCTTCTTTCTTTCTTTTTCTTTCTTCTCCCTCTCTCTCTTTTTTAAATCGGGTTTTTTTTCTTTGTGTACCTTGAGTGTGAAAGTCCAAATCTGACATTACCTTTCAACATCCTCAGGCCACTGTCACTAGTAGTGGCTTGCCTAAGTGCTTGTTCCACTTGTTCCCGGCGCTTTGATTCAAATTCCAAGGCTTCCTGCAATTTTCTCTTGGCTTTTTTCTCCTTCTTCAGACGCTTTTGCATGGTAGCTAAAACATGAAAAGGTAAATGGTTGGCAAAACTTCAGCCAACAGTTGCCAGTTTTGGTGGATTATAAACCATAGATACAGATACAAAGAGACACAAATCATATCACTAACTTCTTTGGGTTCCAGTTCTCATTAGATTCAGAGTGTTCAATCATACAATTTGCTTCTTTTTGCTTTCACCTTTCCAGTGCATATGCTTTATTATAAACATACATTTGTATGGCAGTGGTAGTAGTGGTAGAAAATTATTTTCTACTTTCACTAACTACATGCTTGTAATGATAGCATTAAATATTTGATAATTTCGGGGCGCCTGGGTGTCTCAGTTGGTTAAGCGACTGCCTTCGGCTCAGGTCATGATCCTGGAGTCCTGGGATCGAGTCCCGCGTCGGGCTTCCTGCTCAGCAGGGAGCCTGCTTCTCCCTCTGACCCTCTTCCCTCTCGTACTCTTTGTTTATTTGAGAGAAAGAGAATGAGAGAGAGAGAGCACGAGAGGGAAGAGGGAAGAGGGAAGAGGGAAGAGGGTCAGAGGGAGTCCAACTCTGGGCTCGATCCCAGGACCCTAGGATCACAACCTGAGCCAATGGCAGATGCTCACCCCTACCATGTCTAGTCCTCTTTAAAAGACAATTGATGTCATAATAATTATAAAGATAGACCTGAAGAGTCAATGAGAAGTTAATAAACAGAAACCGGTATGAGCACAAAACTTAGAAGCCATTTTCATTCTATGTAGTAGATATGCAGAAGTCAATCTGAGAATGTTATTATATTTAACATATGATTATTAGGTTCTTTAGTATAAAAATTATCCTACTAAAAATATGTTTTTATGACTGCTAATCATAATAATCTATTTTGTATACCAAATCCCAAAAAAAAATGATTTTTTTCTAAACTTTAAAAGACAAATTAGCTTTTGCTTAATAGTATTTAATGACTTTGGCAAGATAAGGAGAGGTTTAATTCTTTTGTTTTTAAGATTTTTTTTTATTTGTTTATTTATGTAAACTCTACAACTAATGTATGGCTTGAACTTACAACCTTGAGATCAGGAGTCACATGTTCTACCAACTGAGCCAACCAGGTACCCCCCATTTTTTTAAGATTTTATTTTTGGGTGTTATACGAAAACAATGAATCATGGATCACTACATCAAAAACTAATGATGTATTGTATGGTGACTAACATAACACAATAAAATAAAATTAAATTTAAAAAAGATTTTATTTTTTAAACAGGTTTAATTATTTTTAAATGTAGTGACTGAATTTATATTTTGAACCAGACTAACAGTGCTTCCCAGGCCTTAAGGAAAATATACAGTAAGTTTTCAATTACTTGCCAAAATTTTTAGAATATAATATACTACTTTGAAATAATGAAAAGTTAGTGGATTGCACTCAACTGGAATTATTCTTCCTTGTTTAAGGAGACATTATCTCCTTGTGGATTTTCTCTCCCTTTCTTTGCCTCTCCTTCCCACTCTTTAACTATTTTATTGAATTTTTACTTAGTGACCCTTCCATAGAAGAGTAAGCAGAGAAGAGGAGGTTGAAATTCACAATCATCACTTTCCTTGCTGTTTAGTAATTTATGGTAAATGTAAGGAAAAGGTGGAAATTATTAGCTGAAGTGAAGTTTTAAATTTTCTCTGGTTTTGATATGAACTAGTCTCTTTATCCATATCTGTACATAATCTAATGTCTCCCCATGGTTGGAAAGTTATTCTATTTGTGAACATTAATTCTCCATTCTCTCTCTTTTGTCTCCATCCTTACTTATGCAATCTTAGTTCAGTCCTCACCACCACTGCCAGGAGCAAAGTCATTTTACATAATTTCCTTGTTTTTAGTCTTACTCCAAGCCCTCTTTAATCTATTCCCAATACCAAAGTGGTCTAATTTAAATCAGACCAGATCATCCCCCTTGCTTATCTTTGACTACTTCCCATCACCTATAAGACAAAATCCAAGCTAATCTTCTACATGGTTAAAAATGTCTTTTACAGTTTAGCTTTTACCCTCATCTTTCTCCATCATCTCTCACAGTTCACTTCATAAAATTCAGAGCCACAGTAATAACAAACTTTATAGTTGTCAATGTATGAGGCTTCTTGCCTTCATGTTTATGCTCACTGACACCTCTATCTAGAATGTCCAAATCACTCAGATACTCTCATGCCCTTTCTTAGCCTACTGATCTTCAGATTCAAGTATTAGCATCAGGAAACATTCCTCAATCATTCACTCCCCCACCAAGCTGAACTAACTATGCATTCTCTATATAACCATAAATACTGTGTATCATTGTTCTTGCCACTTTGTCTTGAAATTAACTGGTTGGTTGTGCTAGCCCTCTAAAATGTAAATCTCTCCAGGACAGGGACTGAGTTTTATTTATCTTAAATCCCCAGAATCTAGCACTGTTCTTGGCAAAGATTAAGCATTTCATCTACAAGAAATTATTAGATTGTCTATATCCAGGGGTATTTTATAAAATTGTGAGAAAACTAAGAATATTCATATTTTCCAAATCTGCAACTGGCCTGAGGTCCAGATCTATTTCATTATCTTTTATAATAAGGAGAAATAGTATAAATATCTTAGCACGTGGATTACACACAGTATTTGATTCTTAGCTTGTCATTTTTTCAGTAGTTCCAAGCTATCCCTGAGAATATTTCTACTACTATTGAGAATATCTACAACAAAATATTTATTCTGTAATTGAACTTGTTAAACTTACTTCTGCTTTGAAGCTCAACTGCGAGCTGTCTTTCAAGGTTTTCTCTAATTTCTCTCTCTCTGTAGAGCTCCATTCGCAGTTCCTTTTTTTCTTGTTGAATCTGCTTCTCCTGGATGTGAGCATTATCCAAAGCCACTTTCAGTAGGCCCTGTCAAAGTACAGCAAATGACATGCAGTTCATCTTATCTGTTTTAGTTTCTCAAATCTGAAATAATTAATGTAGATGCTAATGTCTTGTATTACATTTATTTTGTTTATAGAAATATTGTTGACCTGAATGTTGGTCAACAGAGTCTCCACGGAGGACAGACTATCAGCAAAAATGAACGGTCCAGGGAATCCAGGAGGCAATGCCTGCCCAGGAGTCAGTTGGATCTTGTCCAAGGGTGACTTCATCATTGGAATTTGAAATGATACTTCTTCTGGAAAAAACAAAATTAATATCAGAATGTTCACAATTAACAGGTCAAAATTTTCACTGTGTTTCCTTTATCTCTAATAGCATCTATAAATATTTTGTTTGTAAAACTAGATGATGGAACACTCTTAATTGGAAGTTATACTTATTCCCCAGCAGCCTCTAGTTTCTTAAAATAAATGTTTCAGTAAATAATCAGTGAAAAATGAAAGAACATTTATTGCTAAAGAGGCATGAGACTTGGAGAAACACATTTATGATATGTTTATGAATACCTATAAATTAATCAGATCCCCTCCTTGTAAAGCATACACTGTTTGTTTTCCTTTTCAAATCTGTCATCTATCATCAATTATCTATCTCTCTATCATCTATCTATCATCTATCACCTCCATTCTTTAATAGCTTTATCAAAATATAATTCATACACAATAAAATTCACCTATTTTAAGTGTACATTTCAATGTTTTTTAATAAATTTACAGAGTTGTGCAACCATCATCGCAAATCTATCTTAGAACATCTTGATCACCCCCAAATTACCCCTCATGCCCATTTACAGTTAGTGTCCTTCTCCCACCCTCCAGCCCGTGGCAATAACTAATCTACTTTCTGCCTCTAGGACTACCTTTTCTGGATATTTTACACAGATAGATACAACATGTGGTCTTTTATGTCTGGCTTCTTTTACTTAGCATAATGTTTTTGACTTTCATCCATGTGGTAGCATGTATCAGTGGTTTCTTCTTTTTATTGCTGAAAAGTATTCCATTACATGGATACATTGCTTTTTGTTTAATTATTCACTAGCTGACAGGCATTTAGATTATTTCCAATGTTAAATTTTATTTTGAAGAATACTACTTATGAAAAAATATTACCTGTGGTGTAAAAACACAAGTTGTATCATTTCTGCCCTTTTATTTTTATATTATCTTCTCCCACATTCTCATTACTTTAACAAGATTCTCTCTTAGTTTCAGATAAAGAGACACCAATAGAATTTTTGTTTAATAAGATGCTTTAAACAGATATATCTAATTACAAAAAGAATCATCTCTTATACTGAGAAGCTAACTACTTGACTATGTACTTGAATTCTGACTGGACATTTTTTATGTTAGATGTACGAACCAGACAGCAAATTTTTTCCTGCAATTATAAACTGGGACGTTTTTGACATAGGTAAAAATAAACTGCTACAAAGAAATAATCTTGGAAGGTAGCCAAACATATCCTGGTATTCTTTTTTTTTTAAATTCATCTATTTATTTGAAAAAGAGAGAGAATGGAGGGAAGGGGCAAAGGAAGAGTGAGAGAGAGAATCTCAAGCATACTCCCAACCTAGCACAGAGCCCAACACAGGGCTCAATCTCACGACCTTGAGATCATGACCATAGCTGAATCAAGAGTTGGATACTTAACTGAGGTACCCAGGCACCCCCAAAACCTGGTAATTTTTTTAGTTTAACTTCAATTAGCCAACATATCATTAGTTTCAGATGTAGTGTTCAACAAATCATCAGTTGTGTATAACACCCAGTGCTCATCACATCACATGCCCTCCTTATTGCCCATCACCGAGTTACCTTATCCCCCCACCCACCTCCCTTTACCAATTCTCAATTTCTTTCCCATAATTAGGAATCTCTCATGGTTTGTCTCCCTCTCTGGTTTCTTCCCATTCAGTTTTCCCTCCCTTCCCTTAAGGTCCTCTGCACTGTTTCTTATATTCCACATATGAGTGAAACTATATGATAATTGTCTTTCTCTTATTGACTTTTTCACTTAGCATAATAACCTCCAGTTCCATCCATGTCGATGTAAATGGTAAGTATTCATCCTTTCTGATGGTTGAGTAACATTCCATTGTATATATGTACCACTTCTTTATCCATTCATTTGTTGAAGGGTATCTCAGCTCCTTCCACAGTTTGGTTATTGTGGACATTGCTGCTATGAATGTTGGGGTGCAGGTGCCCCTTCATCTTACTATATCTGTATCTTTCAAACCCTGGTATTCTTAAATGGCTTCAACAGCAGTGCATGATGGGGTGAATCATAGCACCTCAAACAAAATTACTCTATTCACTACAGTCTCTTCATTTCGGTAACTGGGCACAAGCAAAGTTTGAAAATATGCATCTCCTTAGTCAAAAAACTTTTAAGTGACCCTATATATTGTAAGAGTCATTCAAGAAAAAAAAAAAAAAACCTAGGCTTGAATCTGGACCTAACTAATTTTCACAAAAATTTAGCTATTGGTTCTTGTTCCAGTAGGGATAGGAATATGGATTTATCATATAGTTAGAGCTAATTTTTCAATTGCAAGCAGCCTATACATGTAGTATGCAGAGTCTTGAATCACACAGATTTCATAGTCATGGTTTGCTCCATAGCAAATGGTATGCTCCATTTACTGAATGGGAAGCTGTGGCATAGAATTGTGAGAACTTTCTGTGAGATTTTTAATGGGACAGCATAAAATGTTTTTAATAGAAATCACCATTTTCAATTTCTTTTTTTTACAACTTCCAATTCTCCAAAAATCTATATGGATAAAAAATGCTGAACAATTATTTTATAGAATTAACAGTTTCATATTATTTGAATCCAAAATGTTATAAAAAGCATTTGTTTATTTGTCTTAAAGAATTCAATAAAATGTATAAATTAACCTGTTAATTTTCTTTTAGCACAAGAAGCTATAATGAACGTATTCTTAGGAATTGTTTTTCTCATAAAACTTTAAAAATAGTTTTTGAGGGGCGCCTGGGTGGCTCAGTCGTTAAGCGTCTGCCTTTGGCTCAGGTCATGATGCCAGGGTCCTGGGATTGAGCCCCGCATCAGGCTCCCTGTTCGGCAGGAAGCCTGCTTCTCCATCTCCCACTCCCCCTGCTTGTGTTCCTGCTCTCACTATCTCTCTCTCTCTCTCTCTCTCTCTCTCTGTCAAATAAATAAATAAATAAATAAATAAAATCTTTAAAAAAATTTAAAAAAATTTTGAGTATAAATGCATGATGCATGTGTTTTGTACAATTAAAAAAAAAAAAAAAAACTAAACTCTTTCCTTCCTTCCTTCCTTCCTTCCTTCCTTCATTTCTTCTTTGCCAGTGGTATTTTTGGAAGAGGTGAAGTATTCCAGAGGGAATGAGCACATTATCAGAAATTCTGTGATCTATCTCAATTACAAAGTTGGAACATTTGAAATATGTCATTAAAAAACTAAATTCTAAAAAAAACCCTAAATTCTAAAATGTTTTAGGCATCATCTCTAATGCTTATAAAGCACATTTCTTAACACCTAACCAAGCAATATTATGTCTTACTTGTATTGTTTGAAGTCTGTATTTAGCTAGTATTTTGTTTTCTGCACATGACAAATGTATAGAATACTGATTTATTGATAATAAGTGGGGAGGTTTTACACCTTTGTATTGATGTTTATAAATCTTAAAATATGAATTTATGTAGCCTGGAAGATCTATTTTTACAAAATGAACTGCTACAAAGTTAGAACATTGACATCCTGCTGATTCAGAGATAATATAATGTTTCCCCTGAATAAACATTTTGTATCAGGGCAGAGTTCTTAAAATTAATGGATTATTTGTTATATATCACTCTATACACAAGTAATCTCACTGGTAAGAATCTGAGGGGTATTCTACAAACAAGGTACTCAAAAACGAAAGCAATATTTTCAGTATGCATAAAACAAAATTAAAACTACATTAAAATTCCCAGAAGTCTTCTATTTGGAGATGAAATAAATGCCATTGAATGGGCTGAAAGGAAAATTACTATTGACTATGAAGACAGATTGCATGGTCTACGGTTTGTAATGTTGCTGTACAGTAGATTGAAGTTTCAAAATAGCATTACTCTTCTTTAAAGAGATGGACACAGTTGAATTAGGTGTTGCTTGCCGCAGTGAGGATCAAATGCAAAAAGAATCATATTTCATCGGACCTAGTCAACACCAGGAAAATAAATAGAAATATAAGAGGTATGCAGGCTATGATTCATTTTGATAATCTGGCCCAAGAGAGACACATAGAGACAGCACACAGATCTAAGCTTCTACCAAAAGACAAATAGTACACAGAGGGTGGGAACTGGGATGACAGTGTAGCAGAGGTCACATCGATTTTCAGCAGCAGTTTTCACACAGATGAGATAACCCTGGACTCTATTTGGCCCATTGTTCATATCCTATCTGTCCCACAAGCAATAAATTTCCTAGACCTAGAAAAGGGCAGTAAAGAAGAAGGATTCTACTTATGACTTCTTATGATTAAGTTTCTGTGCTAACCAAACATGCTTTTTCAGACCAAGGTCACATTGCATGTTAAGGTCCATAATAGCCAAAAGCTAGTCGAAGCATATTATATTTTGGTGTACATGAGTGAAAAGTATCAAACCATTTGTCATTTTTTTTCTGATTTAAATCACATGCTATGAAAATGTATAATAAATTTATCAGAAATTTATTTCAATCTTGTAATAGGTCTTCACATCTGAATAACATCGACATTTTGCTCAGAGTTTAAAGACATTCACTGTTATGTAGGAATTTATTCAGGAGGCTTGAGAAATCCTAATTGGCATTGAAATTAAATATGGACAAGTACTAGAACCATAGACTGTCGGTTAAATTCATCTCTTTGTAAACCAGGAAGAAAGGGTTTTGACTGAGCACTTTGATTTAAAAGGCTGGTGTTCAAAATGTGTATATTAAAATCTTTATCAACACACAAAATGCAATGGTATAAGCTAAAAGATAAAGATAAGACAACTGCTAAATCTAGCTGAGGGTATGAGCAACCTCTTCATTTATTGTAGAGAAGTGGAGACTGCTTTTATTGAGCCTGTTTGTTAAACTTGCTATACTTGGTAAGTATAGTTGCTATACTTGGAAATCCATTTGCAGAACAAGCTCTTAATTTTGATTTCTTCTTTAGGGCCCAGATGAATAGATGTAAAGGTTGACAATAACTTTAT